ATATCCGGATATATCCGGATATCCTTTAGATAATACAGATATTCGGGTATTTTCTGGATATCCGTTGGATTATCCGGATATCCAAAATTTTGTATCCGTCCAATCTGAATATTCGAATATCCGTTCAATATCTGTTTTTAACGGATAAAGGATACGAACTCTGATTTTGTGGGGATTAACGATTGAACTACCTAGTAGTATTCTTATAAGTGAAACCAATTATAATGAAAATGGCGACCAAATATCATTAATGAATTAAATAAAGCTTGGATAGGTGAATAAGACCATTTCAAAAAATTATGTCCTGTTTTTTCCGCATTAACTTTAGATATTTAATATGAGTTATTGAATAGAATTATGGACAATTTTGTAGTAAAATTTAGATTGAATCCAAAATAGACACAATTAATTTCAGTTTTGTTACGAGAACGCTCGATTCATCTGAACATTGTATCTATGGAAAAAGTATACATACTGATTTATTGTACTTTTATAGTTAGTCATTCTTGGTTACAAGATCGCCAAAGAAAATTGTGAAAAGTTTGAGTTTCATCAACTTTTTACAGAATAATTTTTGCTATAAATAAGCCCGTATATGGCTTAGAGATTTGCGTCGTTTAAGAAGCAAATTTATCAGTATAAACTCGAAAATTGCACGAAGATGAGATACTTGGTCAATAAAAACAAAAGTGATCGCTTTATTATATGAGATAATACATAAAATGACGGTTATTGTTAATAAAGAACTTGAAAATGAATTCCACTAGCGCGAATTTTGAGGCGTTTCTTTTTCATTTGTAATCAAAATTGTCCTCATTGACGACTTGATACGAGTAGAAAATAAAATATTATAGGTTAACTAATTAATGGCACGCATTTATTATGGAAAAAAAACGGTTAAACTCACCAGTAGTATCGTTATAATTGAGACCAAGTGTAATAGAATATTTTTGATTTTCATTCTGTTTTTTGTCAAAAACTTTTTTGATAACGCACTTTTTCTTGGTATTATCTTTGTTGTAGGTGTAAGTAACCACATCTGAAAGAATGGCGAGCGAAAATTTTTTTGTAATTAGTGTATAAATAGAAAAAAAACCATGCGGAGTTAAATAGCAAGAATTATACCCCTTCTTTGTATTTAGCCATGAGTATTTGAAAATTTTGCTGCAAAAAATTCGTTGTAGAGCAGACGAAACTAAAAGGCATCCTATTTAAATATTTTAGTTCTCAAGCTCATGATGATGAGAACGTTTGACTAATGTTATAGGAAAAAAAAAATAATCAAGTTATCATTGTTTCAAAAAATGCAGATCAAACATTATTTTCAGTTAAATTAATATATGAATGTATAGATTAAAAGCCTCATAATTATGATTCATTATACTACTAAAAGTTAAAATATTATATTCTTGGATTTCTGGCTGTGACGAAGTAACTTTTGAAACTTGTCACATGATTTTCTCAAATTGATAATTATCTGCATCTTTCTTTTATTTAATTCAAAATTATAACATTACTAAATAATGATGAAAATAATTTTATTAGGTTTGGGTCTAAGTATTCTTTATTTCAAAATTTTCATCATGACATTCGTAAAATTTTTTAAACTTTATGTTATAGAATTTTTTAAGCTTTTTGTGTATCAAAATAGTAAAAATAATAATAAATAGAATAATTTAATATTTTTAAGTATAATTATCATTATCGTGCTCACCCATATGATGTAGACGATACGATCTTGTTTTTTGATATTTTTATTGATATCAAAAATAAACTACAAATAAAGTTTTTTATATTGAAATAAGAAACATTAATATATTTTAAGATAAGAAATAAACAAATACATATTTTTATACATTTGTAAATTATTAGTATTATTAAAAATAAATAAGCATAAAGTGGTGTGCTATTAAAATTAAGGTACAGATCATATGATTTACTATGTCTCGTACCTCAATTTGGGTGCCGTTCAAAATCTCGAAGATCAAAATCCCGAAGGGTCAGTCATAATCCCGAAGTCATAATCCCGAATGATCATAATCTTGAATGATCATAGTCACGAATATTATTATTGCTGCGCCCATAAAGTTTTATCACGAGTTTCTTGATTCTATTAAATTTTCTCTTAAACTTCGTAACGCAAAAAAATTTCTTCGCATCCTTTTTATAAAATACTTTTACCAAATATTAATTTCATATTTTTTAAATAATAAAAATGGATGAAAATTGCGAAATCGTGGAAATCGTACTTTCTCAAAAAGGAAATGATAAAATAAAAGTGAAAATCGCAGTGTAATGGATTTTCTTCGTGGGATTGCACATAATATTTCTTTATAAATTTTATTTTTTAGTATTCCAATTTTATAATTATAAGTTATTGTGCTTTGCAACGATTAATATCAAAATTATTGTCAATTGTGATGATGATCGGTTAGATTTAGCCACTAATGTGGCTAAATCTTACTGATTGACATTACAATTTTGATTATTTATCACAATAACTAGAAGTTGCGATATGCAGGGGACTTCGTCCCCCATTAAGCGTCAGATTAAATATCTTATATTCATATAAATA